TGTAGTCTACTTGTGTGCCAAGTTATATTGAAATCAGACCAAAACTGTAGGAGGAGTAGCATTTTGAAAAATTGTTTACAGACAGACAGACGGACAGACAGACAGACAGACAGACAGACGGACGGACGACGGACGCATTACCATCGCATAAGCTCTTCTGGTCTCTGACCAGTAGAGCTAAAAAACCAAAAGTCTCTGTCGAGACTGAAGCTCTACTGGTTTGTACTTATAGCAAAGGAAGAGAAAAGTACTTCAGCAGGTTGAAATTTAAAATTTTCAACACCAATAAATAGAATAATGATCCTTGATTAAGTCTCTTTATGTTCTTAGTGTAGTCTACTTGCATGCCACATTATATTATAACCAGACTAAAACTGTTATTTGGAGTAGCATTTTGAGAGAATTTAACAGAAATTTCTATTTTTAGTAACCACGGCCACACCGTTCATCGAAATCATAAACCTATATACAGAATTTTGTATCTTAGTGTAGCCTACCTGTGTGCAAAGTAATATTGAAATCAGACCAAAACTGTAGGAGGAGTAGCATTTTGAAAGAATTTCACAGAAATGTCTATTTTTAGTAACCGCGGCAACACCGTTAATCGATATCAAAAACCGATACACAGAGTTATGTATCTTAGTGTAGTCTACTTGTGTGCCAAGTTATATTGAAATCAGACCAAAACTGTAGGAGGAGTAGCATTTTGAAAGAATTTCACAGAAATTTCTATTTTTAGTAACCGCGGCAACACCATTCATCGAAATCAAAAAGCGATACACAGAGTTATATATCTTAGTGTAGTCTACTTGTGTGCCAAGTTATATTGAAATCAGACCAAAACTGTAAGAGAAGTAGCATTTTGAAGGAATTTCACAGAAATGTCTATTTTTAGTAACAACGGCAAAACTATGCATTGAAATCAAAACCGATACACAGAATTATGTATCGAAGTGTAGTCTACTTGTGTGCCAAGTTATATTGAAATCAGACAAAAACTGTAGGAGGAGTAGGATATGAAAAAATTTCACAGAAATTTCTATTTTCAGTAACCACGGCAACACCGTTCATCGAAATCAAAAACTGATACACAGAATTAGGTATCTTACTGTAATCTACTTGTGTGCCAAGTTAAATTGAAATCAGACCAAAATTGTAGGAGGAGTAGCATTTTGAAAGAATTTCACAGAAATTTCTATTTTTAGTAACCGCGGCAACACCGTTCATCGAAATCAAAAACTGATACACAGAATTATGTATCTTACTGTAGTCTACTTGTGTTGCCAAGTTATATTGAAATCAGACCAAAACTGTAGGAGGAGTAGCATTTTGAAAGAATTTCACAGAAATTTCTATTTTTAGTAACCACGGCCACACCGTTCATCGAAATCAAAAACCGATACACAGAATTATGTATCTTAGTGTAGTCTACTTGTGTGCCAAGTTATATTGAAATCAGAGCAAAACTGTAGGAGGAGTAGCATTTTGAAAAATTGTTTACAGACAGACAGACAGACGGACGGACGACGGACGCATTACCATCGCATAAGCTCTTCTGGTCTCTGACCAGTAGAGCTAAAAATTGTATTCAATCATCATCAGAGCACCTATTTGGAGATGGCCATCGGTCACAGTTAAACTATGCTACTTGCAAACCAATGTCCTGTATCCCTCTGTTGAATGAAGGCCAGGGATACAAATGTGGTGTGCATAGAAAATTCCATTCAAAAAGTCATTCGAGAGGAACATATAACGAACACAGAAGACCAGTGCAATAAGAGATACTAACTCTTCGACACAAAGCGTTTGTATGATATCCTTTTCATTGGTGGGCCCGTTAGAGCGCATGTTCAGGGATGAACGACAGGACACTTTGAACCAGAACGACACCTGGCAAGCGGCGATGTCTCTGTCAAAGACTATCAGTATTGTGGGGAAGGGAGCTAAAAAACAGACATGGCATGAGAAACATTCTGTCCGTGTGCATGTCCTGTACGCCATAAGGAATTGTGACAACGATCCACAGATTTTAAGACAATTTGGACAGTGTTGTCAACCATTACGAAAGCATAGTCCGCAGTCCGTAGTACGGTGTCAGGTGTACGCGATTCCGAAAATGTTCAGTAGCCTGAACATAAAGAATAGAATTTCAAAGACAAATGACATTACCATTAAGCACAATGAGTAAAGAAAAATATCAAGTATTATGTTGGGAGATAACACACTCAAAAATCAATGAAAGGGTTCAGCTCTTATCTCTATCTACTCATTAAAATAAAGATTTAGGAAAAACAAATTTATATATGTATTCAGCCTAATGTCATTAATCAGAACGGAAGTCGGCTAGCTTTTTGTAGAGAATTAAAACCGAGCCCGGTCCTGTAGGTCAGATCCCTATTTATAATGAAGTCATCCTTTTCGTCCCCCGCTTTCGCAACAGCGAGGGGACATTAAATCTCATTCGTCTGTCTGTCTGTCCGTCAGTCGGTCAGTCTGTCCGTCACAAAAACTTTAACCTTGCCCATAACTTTAGATTTAGTGAAGGTATGACTTTCATATTTCACATGTATATTCATTGTGACAAGACCTTTCATTGGGTACCACCACATTTTACCTTTTGACCTTGACCTTGGAGTTTGACATACTTTTACACAAAAATTCAGAACTTTTACTTTGGTCATAACTTTTGAAAAGTAGGCACTAGGACTTTCATATTTCACATATTTATTGTTCGTGGCAAGACCTTTTATTGGATAACAACAACCTTGACCTTTTGACCTTGGAGATTTACGTACTTATGAAAAAACTTAAACCTTGACCATAACTTTTGAACGGTAAGGAATAAGGCTTTCGTACTTCACATATGTAATCCTTGTGAGAAGACCTTTGATTATATTTCATTTCATTATATACCAACAACCTTGACCTTTTGACATTGGAGATTTAAGTACTTATGGAAAAACTTTAACCTTGACCATAACTTTTGAACGTTAAGGGCTAAGGTTTTCGTACTTCACAAAAAATCAACTTCAATGTTACTTTCTTAATAAATGACATATGATGAGATGTTCATATTACACACAATATGTTATAAAAAATAAGATTTCACCCACAAAGACACCGAAAGCGGGGGACCCCATTTCTTTGAATTTGCTTGTTATATCAGTTTTTAATTCAAAATTGTTGCACAAATCTGATGTCAACTTCATATTTATCTGGCAACATTTAAGTTTTCAATACATTCTTAAGTTAAAGAAGAATGGAGATTAAAGCACTTTAAGCATAATATCGTACATATGGGCACTATAGTGTTTTACAGATGCTATCAACAATTTCATTTATATCAAATGTTATATCGATTCAATTTTAATTGCCTTTCGCTCTTTTATTTCATCAAAGGCATGCATATTGTTAAGTTCAAAAATGTAATTATTTCGGATTTTAGAGAGCAGGCAGACTCAAGCAGTCGCTGAAGATGACCAACGACGAAAATCTGGAAGGATTGGACAAGAAGAAGCTTGCCAATGTACTCACCCCAGAGTACATGTCGTCGTGGGAGTCTGATGTTGACTGTGATGGTGTTTTTAGCTCACCTGAGCTTAAAGCTCAAGTGAGCTTTTCTGATCACCCGGTGTCCGTCGTCCGTCCGTACGTCTGTAAACTTTTCACATTTTCAACTTCTTCTCAAGAACCACTAGGCCAATTTTAACCTAACTTGGTACAAAGCATCCTTGGGTGAAGGGGAATTTAAATTGGTAAAATCAAGGGCCAAAACCCCCTCCAAGGGGAGATAATTAAGAAAATACGAAAATATGGTGGGGTCATTAAAAAATCTTCTTCTCTAGAAGAACCACATAGGAGATAATGATGTTAAAGATGATATTGTAAAGCAGATAACACCTTGTGCAGCAGAAGCTTGTTTCAGCACTTCTAAGAAAGAGGAATGTGTTTGCCTTGTAGACATGTATTTTACAACAGTATTGAACAAGGCGAGCGTCTGTTTCATATTGAAGATTTTGGAGAATATGGCATCTGGCATACTAGAAAGGATATGCACACGCAGAAAGCGGCTAAGAACAACATCAACAGAATAAACTATTTTTGAGAAAAAGGTTAAAGTAGAATCCTTCAACAAAAGTGCAGATTTTTAAAGAAATGATGGCCCTCTGTATATCATTGGCTGATTCTGCTTCTTCCCTAGGGACAAGTTAGTTTAATGAAAATATGGATGCTAAAGCTAAAATTCGTGACGCATGGCTAAGTAGGAAGAAGTGATATTTACGACAGGTGAAGATCTAGATGAACCATATCCGTTTTTAGACACCAAAACACCTATGATGTCTCCGTCTCTAACATGCAGTAATAATATGGTTCCCTCCTCTTATTCAAATAAGAGTATAAGAAATATATAAGAAATTAACCTATTTTTTCAAACAGAAAATGAAGTTCAAATTCAGCATCCGAAACAAGTCTGTTAGTGTACGTCCTCAGATGTATCATCCTTGCAAGTTTAATCAACATAGGTCTTAGAGTAATTTAAAAATAAGACCTGCACCATAAATATTAACCTGTTCACTCAACCGGAAAATGTAAGTCAGATTCAGCATCCGAAGCAAGTCTGGTAGTGTACATCCTTAGATGTATCATCAATGCAAGTTTGGTCAACATAAGGCTTAGAGTTACTTGGAAATGAGACCTGCACCAAAACATTAATTTGTTCCCTCAACCGGAAAATGTAGGTCAGATTCAGCATCCAAAGCAATCCTGGTAATAAGCAGATTTAGATGTACCATCCATGCAAGTTTGGTCAACATAGAACAACAGCTTGAAAACGTACAACTTTTCTTCTTTATTCTCAACAATGTCCCACGAAAAATTAAAATCCAGGCTTTTTGGTATCGTTGACAGCTGCTTCTTCAACAAGCATTCTGAGAGTATTGCATAAGCAATACATGTCCCCTACCGGTGTTCCGTCCCGGCTCCCGCAGTTGTAACATTTTGGAACTCTTCTGTTTCCGGTTTACAATGTCGACCGCATGGCTGCGGCTCTGCAACACTTATGTTTTTATTGTTTAAATACCTGCTGCTGACCACAGTGTAAGTTCATATTTCGTGAAATTTTGTGTTTGTATATCAGAAATATTTTGTGTATTGTCTAAATATATCATAAAATATTTTACTGTGTATCGTTATTATATTTCCACTCAAGTTGATTTATTGTATATCGAGGTTGAATAGAAAGTATATTATTGCTATTTCAATTATTATTTGCATCATCTATAATGTTTTATGTAGTAAACCTGCCAAAAATTTATTCTATGGAAAGTTATCACCATTAATGTTTACAATTCAGCTATGTACCTTTAAAGAACACTGTTAATACAGAGACTTAATTTGTTTATTTTATTTGTTACAGCTTTTTACCATTACATTACATCAACAATAAAGATTTAAACCTTTATGTTGTGTGTGGTTAACTGGCTGCATCCTAAGGCAAAGGCAGCACAGTAAAAAGACTCACTCCAGCAAACTGAAGGCAAGTGCATCGTCACGTCACTAGGACACAGACACCGCTACAGCCTCTTTCATCAACTACTAAGCAATGGCAACCAAAGACAAAGACACGGAAACAGATACGAAGCATGAACTAGATAGTGAAAGTCATTCAATCGATGAAGAATCCAGAATCAGAGCTTTGACTGGAAAAGCTACTCAAGTGTACGAGGACAAGGTCAAGCACTATACTGTTGAACTTTCCATTTTGTGGGATCGTGTAGACTATATGATACAATGTGTAGAGAAAAATAAGGGTAACCTGAACAGTCTCCTGGAAATGGAGAAAAAGTTATTCCAAGATATTGAGAATTTTGATCAGTTTTCACAAGAATTCAGAGAATATCTCACAAGAACAAGATCCCATGAGAGTGTTTGTGAACGCCAAAGACTTGATTTCCTTAAGAAAGGATATGACTTACTGATACAAAATGCAAAACGAAATCTAAAGAAATACTTAGAGGAGCAGCATAAAAAGGAGGAAAAGTCAGAATATTCCTACCGCTCGAGGACGACTTCAACCAGGAGTAGCCAATCATCTATCATCGCTAGAAAGTCCGCAAAGGCTGAGGCAGCAAAGGTCAGTTTACAGTTCGCCAAGGAGGCAGCAGAATTGAAGAAAAAGCAGGCCTTGATTGAGCAACAATATGCATTAGAAACCGCCACAGCCAAAGCACACGCGGAGAGACAGAAGGTTGAGACTCAGGCTAAACTTGAGTTACTGAAAAAAGAACAAGAGGCAGCGGAGGCCGAAGCGGAAGTAAGTGTATTGAGGTCGTTTGACGGAGACGAAGACGCTTCGCACAGATCGCTACCGTCCCTGCCGGAAAGCGATTCCCACACAAAGACAAAAGATTATGTAGCAAATCTCACAATTGTTCCTCCTCAGGACTTCGTCAAAAGGACAAGTGACCAACAAACTTCTAACATGGATGATATGGTCGGTAATCACAAGACATTCGGGGACCTCTATCGCAGAGACATTCACAGAGAGCTACACTCTGTTCCTCCAGCTAGCGCTCACCCCGTGGGTGTACCACAAGATTTTCTAGCCAGTTCATCCTTGAATCCTGAAGCGCCATCTTATAAACCGACCAACCCAAGCCTATCATCGGATTTCACAAAGTTCCTCCTCAAGAAAGATCTCCTTCTAACTCGTCTAACTACCTTCAATGATAAACCTGAGACCTATGCATCCTGGAAAAACAGTTTTAAAAACATAATGGAGGAACTGGGAGTTACTCCAGTGGAAGAGATTGACTTACTTGTCAAGTGGCTGGGGAAAGATTCACAAAAGTACGCTCAATCCCTAAAAACCTCCACATCAAACGATCCTATAAGAGGTCTTCATCGTATCTGGGACAGACTGGATGAAAGGTTCGGAGCTCCGGAAATGGTTGAGGCAGCCTTAAAGCACAAAGTTGACAGTTTTGCGAAAATAACCTCTAAGAACTTAAAGTCTTTGTACGAGTTGACTGATATTTTGAGTGAAATAGAATCAGTGAAAGAAGACACTAAGTTCAGCACTCTTCTGGGATATTATGATTCATCATCGGGTGTTACCCCCTATCGTCAGAAAACTCCCCATAAATCTCCAAGAAAAATGGACTACAGCGGCTGTCAAGTACAATGAAGAACATAATGTGCCATAACCTCCATTTTCTATATTCGTCGATTTCATTAGAAGGCTAAGTAAGACGAAGAACAATCCGAGCTTTATTTACGACAAGGAATTTTCCTCAAACAAACCAAATGAGAGAACTGGAATTTCCGCTCTGAAAACAAAGTTTGTTGGGACGTCACTTGAGAAGCCACAATCTGATCCCTCTATGAAATGTCCATTACATCACTCAAATCATGGGCTAAACAAGTGCAAGGCTTTCCGTTTCAAGTCTCTCGAAGCAAGGAGGAAATTCTTGAAAGAGAATGGAATTTGTTTTCGTTGTTGCGCATCTACATCACACACTAGACGAGACTGCAAGGTGGCCATTAAGTGTGAGGAGTGTGGGAACGACAGGCATCCGACAGCACTTCATGTAGACTTCAGAGCATCAGACGGGTTACCACGCTCTACCCAACCTTCAGAGAGAGATCCCATTGTTAAGAACTTTAGTCCTTTGACTCCTTCAGATTTGTATGGTGGGGAGGACACTGTAACTGCTGAAATACCTAAACCAGCTGCAAAGACACTGTGTACTCAGATCCAAAAGGGAACCTTTAACGGAACATCGTGCTCAAAGACACTTCTAGCTCATGTGTACAGGAAAGAAAATCCAGAGGACCGACTAACATTATATGCCATCATTGATGACCAAAGCAACAAATCGTTAGTTAGCCCTGAATTCTTCAAGCATTTTTCAGACGTCGATGGGTACACTTCCTACACCCTATCTTGTATGGGTCGTATAGATACTTATGGTAGGAGAGCAACTGGATTTGTTATAGAGTCATTTGATGGAAGTTGCACCCTTGACCTTCCCACATTGATTGAATGTGACCAAGTACCCGATTCGAAGGACGAGATACCAACATCTGATGTTGCCTATCACTACCCACACCTGACTGAAATTGCTCATCATTTCCCATCAATCGATGAGAGAGCTCAAGTGTCCTTACTGATTGGAAGAGACTTACCTGAGGCTCATCACGTGCAAGCCCAGATCACAGGACAAAAAGGAACTCCCTTTGCACAAAAACTTGCTCTAGGCTGGACTCTTATTGGTGAAACGTGTATAGGTAAATTCCACAGACCAGACATTCATGCGTACAAGACTTCAATTCTAGGAAATGGTAGAAGTACAATGTTCAAACTTTGTAACAGTGAGTTTGAAGTTAAAGAGAAGTACAAAGACTTTGGCTGTACTGTATTCCAGAAATCCCCTGATGATGAAAGACCAGGACTGTCTAGTGAAGACCGGGATTTTCTAAAATTAATGGACAATGATTTCACAAAGGATCGTGAGGGATATTGGACGGCACCATTGCCCTTCCGTTCGTACCGACCAAAACTCCCAGATAATAAGGTACAGGCGTTGAAAAGGGCCAGGAGTTTACATATTAACATGGAAAAGGATCCCTTAAAGAAGGAACACATGTTCACCTTCATGCAAGGTATCCTTCAGAATGAACATGCGGAGATCGCTCCCCCCCATCCAAGGAGACAAAGAAAGATGGTATCTCCCAATATTTGGGGTCTACCACCCCAAGAAACCGAACCAAATAAGAGGAGTCTTCGACTCATCAGCTAAACACTGTGGCGTATCATTAAACGACGTCTTACTCTCTGGGCCAGATTTGCTGAACAGCCTACTCGGTGTGTTGATGCGCTTCAGACGTGAACCCATAGCCATTATGACTGATGTACGGCAGATGTTTTACTGTTTCCGAGTGAAGGATGAACACAAAGACTACTTACGTTTTCTTTGGTACTATGGGAATGACCCTAATGCAGAACTGATTGATTACAGAATGCGTGTTCACGTTTTCGGGAACAGTCCTTCTCCGGCTGTGGCCTCTTATGGACTGAAAAAGATAGCATGTCTCAGTGAAGGGACCTTCGGGGAGGATGTTGCAAATTTCCTACAGCGGGATTTTTATGTAGATGATGGTTTAACCTCTCTACCCTCGGAGGCTCAAGCCATTGACCTTCTTATGAGGACACGCTCAGCTTTACACAAAGAAGGAAGGTTGCATCTCCATTAAATTGCCTCCAATTCCCGTGCATTGATGAAGGCCTTTGGTACTGAAGACTTGGCCAAGGAACTTAAGAAATTGGATATTGGTGAGGGGGCCCTACCAGTTCAAAGAAGTTTAGGAATCAGCTGGAATTTAGATACAGACTCGTTCTTGTTCTACCCATCATCTGAGGTGAAACCGGCCAAGAGACGAGGAGTACTTTCCACTGTCAATAGCATCTTTGACCCTCTCGGATTTGTAGCACCAATTACTGTACAGGGTAAGCTGTTCCTTAGATCACTCATACGTAGTTCCATTGACTGGGACTCACCATTGACAGATGAGCAAGTCACCTGGTGGAATGAATGGAGACAATCACTGGGCTTACTTACAGAGCTGAAAATACCTCGAGTCTACACAAGTATGTCCTTTGCGAGCTGTGATTCAAAGGAGGTCCACATGTATTGTGATGCATCCGAGCATGGTATAGCAGCTGTAGGCTACCTACTAGCTAGGAGAGAAGACCAGAAAGAGCTGGGATTTATACTTGGAAAGGCGAAAGTGGCTCCCTCGCATGGCCACACAATACCCCGCCTCGAACTCTGTGCAGCCGTCCTATCAACTGAAATTGCGCAATACATATCTGAACAATTAGACATTGACTTAAGCAAGTTCTTGTTTCATTCGGACAGTAAGGTAGTTCTCGGCTACATAACTAACCAATCACGGAGGTTCTACACATATGTGAGCAACAGAGTGGCACGTATACGACAAGTCACCTCACCAAACCAGTGGAAGTATGTATCCACAAATAACAACCCTGCAGATGTGGCTACACGTCCAATGAATGTAGCAGACTTGAAGGATAGTATGTGGCTAAATGGACCCCCCTACCTTTCACCCTGCAGTGATTCTTCAGAAGAGATTCTTTATGAATTGCAGAACCCTGACTCGGACAAGGAGATTAGACCATTTGTAACATGTATGAAAACTACTCAGGTTACAACAAACCTATCACTCGGCTCACACAGGTTTTCAGAGTTCTCAGATTGGAAGAAACTCATTGAGTCCATTGCGAGATTGAAACATGTGGCGCAGAGTTTCAATGGACTAGGACCTTGTACAGGTTGGCATTCCTGTAAACTCATGAAATCAGTCCCATCTTACAAAGAAACAGAAAAATTTGTGCTCAAAGTTGTGCAAAGAGAATCTTATCAAGAAGAAATCAACAGTATTCAAGAGAAAAACATTGTTCCCTTGGACAGCTCTTTGAGAAAATTAGACCCATATATGGACTTAGATGGTGTGCTAAGAGTCGGTGGTAGATTAAATAGAGGAGACCTATATCAAGACGACAAGAACCCTATTATTGTCCCTTCTCGACACCATGTGGCCAAACTTATCGTCGAATACTATCACAGGAGGTCAAGACACCAAGGCCGACACATAACTGGTGGCGCAGTGCGTTCTGCAGGATTTTGGATCGTTGGCAGCAAGCGACTCATCTCGTCAATTTTGTACAAGTGTGTCATATGTCGGAAACTACGTAGAGGTGTTGAGAACCAAAAAATGGCTGATCTACCCATAGACCGCACTCAACCAGGTCCGCCCTTTACATACGTGGGCCTCGATGCCTTTGGACCCTGGAACATAGTCACCAGACGAACTCGTGGGGGAGTTACAAATTCCAAGAGATGGGCCATACTGTTTACCTGTTTGACCACTAGAGGTGTGCACATAGAGGTCATTGAGGAGATGAGTGCCTCCTCCTTCATCAATGCTTATAGAAGATTTGTCGCACTTAGAGGTCCTGTAAAACAGATAAGGTCAGACAGGGGCACAAACTTTGTTGGTTCAACCAGCGACCTCAACATCAACACCATTAGCGTTGAAGATGGACCAGTGAAATCTGCCCTGTATGATAATGGCACCACCTGGATTTTCAACCCTTCTCACTCATCACACATGGGTGGGGTTTGGGAGCGTTTAATCGGCGTCGCCCGACGCATCCTTGACTCTATGTTGTTGAAGAGTTCTATGGTCAAGGGACATTTAACTCATGAAGTACTTGTGACTTTCCTTGCTGAGGTTACCGCGATTATGAACTCACGCCCACTCACAACAATGTCAACAGATCCTGATGACCCTTACCCACTCAGTCCGTCACTCCTGATCACCCAGAAACCGGATGTCTTGGTATCACCATTGGATATTGCATTCGACTCCAAAGACATGTACCGTTCACAGTGGAAAAGAGTACGACACCTGGCCGATGTCTTCTGGAGTAAGTGGAAAGCACAGTACCTTCAGTCCCTTCAAGAACGAAGGAAGTGGCAAAAGGAGCAGAGGAATGTTTCAGTTGGTGATGTTGTGTTGATGGTTGACAAACAAGCACCGCGTATTCAGTGGCCTTTGGGCAAAGTTGTGAAAACCTTTCCAAGTGAGGACAACAAAGTGCACAAAGCAGAGATTCGCATTTCAAGAGATGGCAAGACATCTACGTTTATTCGTCCAGTTTCAGAGTTTGTGTTATTGATTGAGAACAGTGAAGTGTGATATCTGATGATATCAGGTGGGGAGTGTTCCGTCCCGGCTCCCGTAGTTGTAACAATTTGGAACTCTTCTGTTTCCGGTTTACAATGTCGACCGCATGGCTGCGGCTCTGCAACACTTATGTTTTTTATTGTTTAAATACCTGCTGCTGACCACAGTGTAAGTTCATATTTCGTGAAATTTTGTGTTTTGTATATCAGAAATATTTTACCTATTCTTTGGTAGCTGTTTATCGTCTAAATATTACAATAATCGACAGATCTGTGTATTGAAGTTCTAGTCATAAATACTGTGTATCGTTATTATATTTCTACTCAAGTTGATTTATTGTATATCGAGGTTGAATAGAAAGTATATTATTGCTATTTCAATTATTATTTGCATCATCTATAATGTTTTATGTAGGTAAACCTCGCGCCAAAAATTTATTCTATGGAAACCCGTTATCACCATTAATGTTAACAATTCAGCTATGTACATTTAAAGAACACTGTTAATTCAGAGACTTAATTTGTTTATTTTATTTGTTACAGCTTTTTACCATTACATTACATCAACAATAAAGATTTAAACCTTTATGTTGTGTGTGGTTAACTGGCTGCATCCTAAGGCAAAGGCAGCACAACCGAGTTCCCCTTTTTCTTCGGGATATCAAGGACTAAGGGTCAGGTGTTCATGTGTGGTATGGACACTACTGATCGTTGCTGAATATTACTGATTAGTTGAAATGTATTTTTGCTCCCCTACCCTGGGTATGGGCATTTAGTAAACAATCTAAGCAACTGCTTAGTGCATTGTTGTGATGGTCAATGGTGCCTCTTTCAAAATTGTGAATGCCATAGCATCTGACTTAAAACATGAATCAAAATCCAATCACTGGAAAGTTGTTACATAATGCTCATGTGACATATAAAGCCCATGGGCCTTTTGTTAAAAATAATTTTTTTGAAATATTTTTTGCAAGTATCTTTTGTTTATCAAATTTTAACAAATTATAAACTGTATAAGTTTTGAATCTATACTTCACAGAGTTTTTGGGGGTATTGTAAAACTAAATTTTTGGACATGTTGACATTTGACTAAACATTGGAGATTTCTCCATTCATAAATTCACCGGCTTAGAATACTGATTGTTGCACGATTAACATCATTCAATGCATGGATCCACAACATCAGATGGGGGATTGATTGTATGTTGTTTAATGTCCCTCTCGAGAATTTTTCACTCATTCGGAGACGCCACCACAAATTCCGTCCTATGCTCGCCACTCAGGGCCTTTAAGCAGTGAGGGATCTTTTTCGTGCCAGCACCTACTACGACACGGGGCCTAGGCTTATACGGTCTCCACGTCCGACAGTGGGATTCGAACCCGCAACGTAAGGATTAATTCCTTGCTTCGCGACTCTTTAGCAGACGCTCTAACCACTGCGCCACGCGGGCGACTCAGATGGAGGAAGAAGAAGATCCATTGGAACAGTTTTTGAATGAGTCTACTAAAAGGGATTACCAGGTTATTCTGTTAAACATTCTTTAAAACAATTCAAAAAATTACTGAAAAGTACCACCTCTGTCTACAAATGTATATTTATATTTTTTTCCTTCAGTAAACTGATAGAAGTTGGAGGGCAAATTTTAAGTGTTACTGATTCTCAGCTTGACAAAATTTTCCCAACTCGGGAAGGGAATACAGTCCCGTCACTGTAGAGGGACTAAAATGTCAAATGTATCAGAGTTATCATGATACCTGCCTGATCCTTATACGTGGAAATTTAAGGGGTTAAATTGACTGTTGCCATGGTGATAACTTGTTGTAAAATATTCATAGGTACACAAGGAAGAATGTTTTATACATTTGTATATTATAAATTTAAAAATTGTTTTTGGTACTCAGTGATTACAATTTATGTGATTTTTCTACCAATGCGTTAGACTTTAACCATTTTTAATTTATCAAAGCATCCATTTTTTGTTGCCTAGCAACAGATAGTAAATTTCAAATTTGCAAAACTTTTTATTTCAAATTTTAAGAAAGCCTTTCTTGTAGTATCTATAGTAAATATATTAGAAAATGTAAATTGTAGAATTTTATTACATTTTCAGAACACTTCAAGAGTTTATCTTTCTTGTGTCACTAAGGAAGAAGGACATTTCTTTCTTGAATTTTTTGTATGAAGCCTTCAAAATGGGTGAAATTTCGTCAATCTATAAAGAAAAATTGGCCCTTTGCTAAGGGAATTTCTATGTCCAGGTTTCCATAGTAACAATGACCCAAATTATTTTTCCCTCTGCATACATGGTTTATACCCTGAGAAAAATCTGTGAGTGAAAAATCATTATTCTGAGAACCTCATGTATCACCTTTTATACATAGGCTGCCTGATTCTTACGTGGACCTGTAATTAATTATATAAAAATTTTGTTTTCAGACAGATGAAAAAAAAAATTCCCAGAAGATGTCCCAGCTGTAACTAGGAGAGCCATGTTAAAGTGATGATTTGTAAAAATTGTGGTTTTGTGTTTCCCACAAAAATTGGACACTGAAACTTTAATCATGAAAGGAGAGAAATCAGGGGAAGGGAATTACACCCATAAAATTCTAGAGAGAATGAGGAGAGATGTAAAGTTATGTTTTATACCAATCCTTTTTCACACCGTTGTATATGTACTTGTCTCATTATTAACCTAATTACATGTATTCAAAAAACAGATTGTCAAGCTCTATGGAGCAGGAATTCATGCCTGTCTGCTGATCCTTTGAGGCAGAGTAGTGGATTCAAGGCACATAGCCAATTGGTGAAGTATTGGCCAACAAGAAATTCTCCTTTTTGGACTACTCCCTCACAGGTATCTGTACCTCGTTCAACGGCACCTCCTCAGAAACCTGTCCAGACTCACCCTTTGCCCTCACACAGGGAGTCCAAGTTTGGATGACCCTTTACCAGAAGAGTATCAAGATAGATGGGAGAGTTGGAGCAAATCACTTGATCAGTTAAGCAGTGTACAGATTCCTAGGATGTTCATTCCACAGTCGTTGAGCATAGCATCAGACCCACACCTGCTGATATTTTCAGACGCATCTGAAACCGCAATCGCAGCTGCAGCTTTCCTGAAAGTGAAGCATGACATTGGATTTGTCATGGGAAAGTCTAAACTTGCACCTCTAGCAGGGCATAGTTTTCCACCACTAGAGCTATGTGGTGCTGTACTGGCGGCAGAAATAGGAGAATTGTGTCAGATCATCGGTATATCCCAACGTCATTGATCAAGTATTTTAAGGATTTAGATGTATAACAGGGCAGTTCCGGTAAAAATGACGGCGTTTGTCGATGATTGCCGATGTCGTAACACTGTTTCTGTGTAAGAGTTATCGACCGTCGTAAACAAGCATGGCTTTTCGTCAGCACGTCTTGATAGACGCTGGCATTATTCATGCCATCAAATTATAGAAATATACTCAACAGAGGAAAGAACAAATGTTACTTTGATAGAAAACCATGATATAGTAGTTTTGTTAGACTAAGTGCTGCATAAACAATCTTTTCAAAGTAAAATACATACTTGGGTTTTTTCCATGTTCTAAAAATAGCACATCTTTCGATGTGTAGAGAAAATGAGGTAATTTTATTTATTTCTTTAAACCATGTTAATATTTTACCAGATTTTCGTTATTTCTAGTCGTTTTTCAGTAAACATAGTAAAGAAACACTGTTTTGGTCATGTAAACATAGAAACATGTGGGTCAGTTTGTCCCATCTAAATTCTGAAACATGTGATAAGGAATTCTAAAAATAGATGCAGCAGAGCTATAAACAGACAAGACGCAGCTCTCTGCTGAGTCAGTCAGTGAACATTTAAAATATGTAAGTTTCAATGAAACAATGGTCAGATTTCTTCTATCTAGGTAATGTAGGGTATTAATGTGATAGGACCTTCGCAAACTAATTAAAATCTCCCAGGTGAGGTGAAAGGTGTGAGATAATTATAGGTCCATGAGAAAAAAAGGAATGATGTATTGTATGCGGAAAATATTGTGTCCGAATTTGATTAATTGCATCAAAAGCAGATGCAGAGAACTGCACTCGGTGATCTGTTTTGGTTTCCCCGACAATTTAAATTCTATGTCAGCGAGTGTTTTTGTGTCAGCAGCGGACTAAACATTACTGATCACCTGTCTGTATACAGCACATATCCGATATCAGACAGGCAGGCAAGTTTATCAAAGTTAAGCCTGGTTCCCTGTCCCTGTTTTACTTCATGTACTCCTGACTTGGAAAGAATGAGCAGGGGGACCAAGCTAATCAAAGTTAACGTGATTAGCCGCTACATGTAGATGGCGATCGCAAATTCCTTTCCGCCGCAGCTGAGCGGTACCAATAGAGCGGTAGCTTAGCCTCCGTCTAAAAAGCACCATATAATGTTTTCTATATATTGTTGGTGTGCATTATGGTATAATTTGTATATGTTTTCTGGATCAGAATTGTAAAGTTCAATTTATTTTTAAAAGGATATTGAGCATGGTACAAAGCTATTGTAGTATGACTCGTACTGTTCTAGTGATTGAGATTTGATATGATTCACATGCATACTTTCACATACATTTTTATATCAACAGTATAATTAATATCCATTTTAAACATTGTTTTTTTATTTTACTGACAACTGCATTTTATGCAAGAAGACTGTTCGCCCCCGACAAAAGGCAATCCAGTGTGATGGGTGTGAACAATGGCAACACAGGACATGTGACACTGGTAAGTTTTGGAAATATATATGCGTAAAATTTTACTTTAAATACCACTATACTAAGAACAATTATTGATAAAAATGGAAAAGAATAAAAAGAATACTATATAGTAAAATTAATTATTTCATTGATATTACAGGTATCAGTCGAGACCGGTATCGGCGAATAGTGAGAGAAGAAGAAGACCTCAACTGCAAGCGTGCAACCCAGTTGAATGGTAGACTGTTCACCTTGTGGGAGGAGTACAACAATAAGAAA